GAGGCTTTTTTATTATATGGTGTGCACTTTTCTTCCTGACCCTCCTCGGCTTACTTGATTCAGTTTACCTAGAAAAACTTTCCATTTATTTTATCGGTCAGAGTATAAATAAACAAATAGACAGTAAACAAACAAATAAAAACGATAGTTCACTTCATGGTGACCACTAAAATTGATTATTGAATTTTCAATAATTCCTTGTTGGATGAGATTTTTTCAGTGGGTCGAATAATCAAAGACTCGAGCTCGCGAGCCTTCAGCAGGTATGGAGCTGACACTGGGGGCGTAATCGTGAGAAAAGGCAGGACGGCTGCATCCATTGTCATCGACTAGGAGGATAAATGGTCGCGGGATGGTTGATATGTTTACATTAAAAATACCCTCATATACAACATATGACGAACCCACCCCATATGTAACAGGACAGGGCACCCACAAAAAACCATATGGAGATCACTGTGGATGGTAGGGCAAATCCTAGGCGCCTGCCAGAAATCTAGAATTTTACGTACTTTCTTTATCCTCAGTTTTATCAACTAGTCACAGTAACCCTCAACTCGACGGATATGCAGTAATCCTCGGATTCTACGGGCATTACAAACCCCCCGCAATTCCTGGTCGCCTCTTCCGGAGATTATGCATATTTTCTCTCCCATTTTCCTTCATTCCTTCTCTCTCTATTCTCTATTGTTCTTTTCAATTTCGTCTTTACTATTGTGGCCTGGAGTGAGAGTGCACTTCTGGACGTCTAGCAGCCTTAGTGACTGCGCGGATTCAAGAACTCGATAGTGGCTTGCCAAACCGCTACACTACATGAATGAGTCAGGTTTTTGGGTCATTGCAAGGAGATGGATATTGTGGTTGCAGGTGACCGTTGTGGATTCTTGGTCTCAGAAAGACGGGGGTGAGAAGAGACTTCGGGATGCGCAAATGAAAATATGATCTTTCCCGAAGTTCCTGTCATTCCCTAGGCTTGGTACCGGAGCGTGCCCTCTTATCTTGCGATAGCGCTCTTGTTCATCTTCGCGCGGAAAAATCCCACTTTTCTGCTCGCGCGTAATAACTTCGTATAGCATACCGAAATTGGTCTTTTACTGGGTTTTGGTTATTGCAAAAAAACACAACGACGGTTGTAACAAAGCCAATGGTAGTAAATTATAACATCAAAGTAACAACAAAGAGTAAATAACGGGATTGCCATACCGGTAGCACTCACGTTGCTTGACTAAGCTACTGCTTATCCTCGGGCAAACTTATCCTGGGAATTTAGAGTGATTGAAGCACATTTTTTGGCTCCGCCCCTTTCTCGTTCGGTCTAATCTCCCCTATTTTATTCCGCGTTATCACTATCTACCGGGACCCGCTGTATGTCCTACGAGGGTTCCATTATCTTTTCCCTTTCTCGCCTTTCGCATCTCTTCGTATCTATTGTGCCGGGTTCGAGTCCAATGATGCTCCTGAGGACGTACCCCGCTGTAATGTCGTGCCCATCGCGTTCTCCGCCTCCGTACCGTTGGTCTTCTTCTCTGGTGATTCGAAGACCGCCTCAATGGGGCGAAGGTGACAAATGTGTCGGTTACGACTGGCTGTCATTTAGTATTTTCGATCTTTAGACATAGTGAAACTTACATGACACGAATTAAATGCACGAAACGGCCAGGCGGGGGCGGAGGGCCCTTCGCCTGGGAGTGTTATTCTCTCATAGCAATTTACATAGCACATTTGGTTATTTTCTGCTATATCGTATTCCGTTTCTCATCTGAAAGCTCTTTATCGTATAAATCAATAGAAGGTGTTTCAACAAGCCTTTCCAGCCTTTTATTGCGTCCATCTGGCTAGGTCGTTACTTTTTGTCGTTCGGCAATATTCTCACCCCTAATAGCTCAATAACTTACTGCATTCTGAACGTTCTATGAAATTTCATCGAGTATCATTGCTGAGACGAAATATTTTGACTGTTTTGTTTGTTAACTGCTGTTTTAACGCCGCAGTTCGCGTTGCGAATGTTTCACAAGAATGCTGGGTTGTGAACAAAACTTTCGCCCCAGGCGGGACTAGAACCCGCACCTCCTCGCTTTTTCAGAAACGGTTTCCGCCGGTACTGGTATGTCTTTCCTAATTTGCTAGCTATCGTAACTGTCGTCATTTGAGGCGCTATTTACCCACCTTACGCATATGTCCTTTTACTCATTGGGTATTATTTCCTTACTTATTTTTGTTCTGGTCGTCAGCCTATCCCACTGATGTGCCTCAAGGGCTGGACGACTGAAAGTGGTTCGTCTGGGATAGAGGCGAAACGAACCACCTCTCTTTGTCATTTAATAACTTAAAGTACATCTATCATTCTTCTCCTTCTATTATAGCACATTGCCCGGTAAGAGAGACAAGCGGGTTCGAGTTTCGCCTGGGGCGAAAGTTGGTTGTTCATAACTCAACGGGAGTCTTTCAGGGCAAGGTGCGCTTTTTCAAAACGGTTTTGTGCATATTGTAGGGACGCATGTAGGGAACGCAAAACCATGTTTCATTTTCGCTGAACGGTTATAGCAGTACCAAAAAAGAAGCATAAGGTACTGTTAAGGGTTCGATCCCCCGTGGCGACTAAATTTTGCATTTGGGTTGGCGCCTACGGTTTGGTGCCAAATCGCGCTAAATATCAAAATCAGATGTCAAATTCATCGTCAGGACCATTTTGAAGCCAACAAGTGGCCGCCAACCTTGATTGCAAAATTTAGTCGCCGCGGGGATTGAACCATCAAGTAGTATTATTCACCACTTTTTTGGTACTACTAAACATCGTAAGCGAAAACAGCCCTTTTGGCAACACTCAGCTGGCCGTATGCTGACATGTTGGGGAAGGTGATGGATCCGACGTGACGGACGCACTTCTAACGCGGCTCCTATGAGCTCGCACAATTTCGTGTGCTCAACTTTAGAACTCAACGCCTCAGAGGAGGATCCGTCCCCTCTCCAAGGCTTAGTCCTGGGGTGAGCAAACCAGCCCTTCTGGCGGAGCTGCTGGACCAGCTGCACCACTTGCGTCAGTACTCTCCTATCGTACCAACCGAGTTGAAGTAAACCGTCGACCGTTGGGGACCCCATCCCCTCCCCAACATTCAGCATACGGTCCCAGCCGAAACGCCAAAAGGGCTGGTTTGCTTACCTCCTATAAAACCGTGTAGCAAAAACGAAACATGGTTTTGTGCGTCTATACATGTCGTCCGCCCCCACCCCCTCTCCCCCCCGCCCCCCCCCCGCCTATCAACTTGTACTGAACGTTTTCCGAAAAAAGCGCACCTTCCTGATGAGCTCTCTCTGGGGGCAGCTAGCCCGAAATTATCCCCTTGTGTACGCTGCTACCATCGCCTTCTCCTTTTGCAACCCGATCGATATACCCACTGTTGCAGGATGGCGGTGGACGACAGTTCAAAGCCTGACGCACAATCAACTAAGTTCTCACGAGAAATGAGCCGGCCAGTAGCTACAGGCTCCGGATTAATATGAGGATGTGCAGTAAGCTGTTTTTGCATCTAGCTATGGTGTATTTAGGACGATACCGTCACGAGTGTTTTTCTAACGCGGTCGATCGTCACTACGTACGGATCTTGACAACGATTACGGGAATTATTCGTGCGAAGAGCCTACGTCTAAAGACACAGGACTCATTTCCGGAAATTCAATCTTCCGGATCTCCAGTTCGCGTTCTGAATTATAATCCGAAACTCAGCAGATTGCTCGTTCGACTGATCCTCCTGCAGTATCTGATTGGGAAGCGCATAGCCGTGCTACACCAACGCTAGGAATTACCAGGCAGCCTCGTGGCGCATTTTAGCGTTTAGCTTGAGGTTCTTTGTAGATTCAAGAGCGCGCTGGCGCAGAAAGCGGAGATTTACGTGCAACCGCTGAACACAGCTCAATGGATTTTTCTGAAGGCTGAAGTTAAAGTTTATAGTTGAGCGAAAGGGACCACCACTTAGCAATCGGATGCCCAGACAGTTGTAAAATTCGTTGACGCGTTGCTAGATTAAGCGTTTCTACCAGGAAGAATGGACAGCTCTCGTGACCCAAACAGGTCTTTTTCGTCACTTCTACTGGCTGTGTCGAGCTGGCTCAGTTGATAACATATTCTATACTTCCGTCACCAAAAACAGGTGAGTTTTCAGCTCGGGTGATCCCTGTTCGGCTGATCGGTTATAGGGCCAGATCGATCAAAGGCACTAACGGAATCTGAATGTTGAAGATCAATGATGGCGCGATTCCAGGAAGGTTTTGACCAACTGCGAAACGTTCTCCAATTTTACATTTCTTACCTAATTGCATTCTAATCAGGTATAGTAGGCGTAATTTCAGGAAATTTCTGATCGCAATCAGTCGACGTGGACGAAACGGCATTCTAATAGCGCCGGCTGGTCACGAAACATCCTCTTCGCGGTCACAGATGAGGCGATTGATCCCGGCTCGATGTGAATCAGCCCGCTTATCGTTAGCCGAGATTGGTTGGCCAGTTCAATTCCATCCGTCCATTTATTTACATTTCCAATGCGGCCTCTCATCAGCTATATCAATATATCCCTGTTTTCCGAGAATTCAGATAGCGAGCAGTCAGAGTGCAGACAGCACACACAACTGACGACGGCCTTCAAGTTAAACTCTGGTAAACATAGGGGAATAGTGATAGCTAGATAGTAGATAAATGATAGCTGTATTAGTGACAACTGATAGAATAGAGCTGCCATCGGCGGCTACTCAGTTCAACAGAGAAGATTTGCATTTGTGAGGGTCGTCGTCATTGTGCTGTGTGGTCTGCACTCGACAAGCACCAGGTTTTCGAAAACAGCGCATACTTGTTCCAACGGAATTCTAAAAATTTGTGCATAATTTTGATCCGAACAGATTGAACCAACGGGTTGAGGTCACAAAATCTCGCCTCTAACCACTGCACCATCTTAATCAGCATCAAAGTTTAAGAATTATTACAGAGCTGCTTCGCGAATCCGCACGAAATGATTGGTAAACGAATTATGAAACGGGCTTGCGATTTACGGGACGAATTTGCGACCTTTTACACATCATTGGAACTGGAACAGCGTGAAGAACTGGAAGAAAGCGCGAAACTCCTTCTCAAAAGGTCAACACATTCGTCCACGAATATATCGATTTGTCGACGAGGTTAGTTATGAGAAAAAAAACCCCTTTTTTGCAGCCTCCTTCTAGCCAGCAAATGATAGTGGTAGTGGCAGTATCAATTACACTTCGGAGCAGCTCTCTCCCATCATTTGTTTCCTGTTGGAAATGTTTACAAAACAGTTGCGCCAACTCAGATCTAAGAACGCGTATGACCGTAAAACCTACTACAGATTTTTTGAGTATTTCATGTGACTGGACTTAAAGGCACCTCCCACGTTACCCTCTTATGATGGCCAGATTACGGAATAAATGTGCTCAGGTGGCAGGGAAAGCACTATGTTGTACTACTGCAGTAAAAAGGCGGCCCTGCAACAGCATTTCAGAGCCCAAAACGCTTACATTCGCGCCCTAAAGAATTGCGGAGGGGGGGTGCTTCCTGCATGGATTCTAGTGTGTACAATATCGTTTGTGCGTTGATTCGTACACACCGTAGAAGCATGCGAGAAGGGGGATCTTGGACATTTGGCCGCGTACTTTCCTTGTTCCTTCACTAGCGGAATTCTATTCGCACCCTCAAAATCAATTCCGGGCCGATCCCCGATTCCTTTGCTATCCTGAATTAGGCAGTGTTTTTTTCACTTTTAGACTGGACTGGTGCCCATTACAGGTTGACGACTTGTTCGGAAGAGCTTCGGCCAGCGTTTTGTCGAACTGCGTTCGCATGGCTTTCGACCGGATTATTTTGCAATTTTGGCCGATGCCACCATCAAGGAATGCACACATTTGGATTCGGCTGTACATAAAAGTCGACACGCATCCACACAACGCTTCTCCAGTTTGGCGCCTTGGGTATTGTTCTATTTTCAGCTTTTTTAGGTTAATCACCAAATTTAATTCCTTGCTTTTTGAGACTGACTACATTATAGTAAATAAAGAAATAAACACATATAGTATAATAAACAAATTTTTTATGGTATAAGCGTATTAATAAATAAAATATGTGTGTAGTGATAAGACAGTTGCTCGCCTACTTTCGCCTCTGGCGGTGATGGGATCGTAACCCAAAGGCCATGAAAGCGTTTACTCTGCCCAGTGTAGTTGCAGGGTTGGTTGCCTGAACGGACTAAAGCCCATATTCAATCATCAAAGATGCATGGAAGCCGAAGTGCATTCCAATCGTGCCATTCCATGTGCTTTGATCTAGAAGGAAAGCGAATGCATGGCCGTCAAACGTAGCTCATGGTTCTGATAGCAAATGGCCACTGAGTCCTATCAACACGTGCTCATTGCTATACATATTGATTGGCATGAAGATGGGACTTATTATGGGGAGCTTATCTTGATTTTCGAGAAATTAGCAGCTCACTACTTCTAAAAGCGGAAAGAACACTAGGAACAATTTTTGCTTGTCTTTCCAGCTTTTTAATGCCTCTGCGGCTCAACTCGTCTATTCCACTTGTGTGCCTTTCTATCGAAAACTTTCTTTATGCTCTTGTGCACGTCGTTTATGACGACATTGGTGAAGCGTCTTGATGAGAAGTAAGCAAAAAATGCTCCGCGTAGGAAATTTCCCTCGAGAATTCGCCCTGCAGAAGCTTAGAGTACCTCAGCGAATTCGAGCCTCTCGATATACTCGCGTGAGAAAAGGATGAGAATAATGGATTTGTTCACAATGAATACGCCATGAACTCGCCTCTTGCGAGAACTGTTCTTCTGAAGCTGCATTGATTGTTTGATTGCGTCGTATTTTTATTTCTTTTCACCATCTTAATATCTTCTCTTATCCAGACCATTTGTCAATCGTTGCGAAAAAATGTGGCTTGGACGAACCTGACCTGACCATTCAATAGGGAGCGGTCAGTTTTGATTGTCAAACTTGCAAATTTTCCGAAATCTTTCTGTCAAATTGTTTCTGATTCCATGAATACATCTAGTTTAAATCTCCTAAAACCCCTATTTCTACCCGCGGTACTTTTATCATGGAAATCGATTTCATACTTTTTGCTTCTCCACGACATATCACTCTCGAGTTGCCCATCTCAAAACTACAACCCATTCCAGAGTGGTGACTGAGAGCAGGGGCTCCTTGTTATCTCATCCTTTATACCAGGAGCACCCGTGTGTGTGTGGGGGTGTGGGTGGTGGGTAAGCCAAGGCTTTGGAAGTGGTGGGAAAATTAGTAGGTAAACGACTTGAACAATCACGCAGCCACGCAAAGTGTCACCTTCTTCAGAGCCTGGAAAAGTCGAAAGCTATTTAGGAAACTACCCGTCCAAACACTATTTCAACCTACAAGATTCATTCAACAGGGAGTAAATTACTAAAACAATGTCATGGAGGGAGATGAGAACGAACCTTTAGAGATGCTGGCCAGAGAGGTCCACCTGCCACCCCGAGCTGGTAGTAACGTGGCTTAAATAGGTAAAGCCTTCAGAAGGGTCGATGCTAGGGAAATGAGTGGCGTGTGGGGGAGGGAAGGAGCATACGGGTAAGTGTGGTGAGGAGCGGGTTGGACAAAAAAACTACGAAGATTCGATGGTCCTCTGGGTGTGGTTGCACCGGACGTTACCTACTCTGATGGCTTTGCAATAACAGAAGAAGATGTCCGATCGCCAGTCTTCTGTTTTCAGCGCTATTTTTTAACTATTGCAGGGCGCGGAATGTGAAGCACGCCAGACGCGATTACGTGTCACAATTCAGGCCGGAATGTGGAAGCACTCCAGGTCGATTACGTGTCACGAGCACACTTATCTTTTCCTTAGTATAGAGAGACACGAAAAGCCCCCTCCCCTCCCCTTCCTCCCTCGTTGAGAAATTCCCAATGGAATGTTGGACAGCATTCTAATTTTTTTTGTAGAGATACCGCTTCTACTTATTAGGCTAGAGGTAAAAAAGCAGCTTACTGTGAATGAAGGTTGAGATGGTCAGTGGCACAGGGATGAAGAAAACCATGGAAAACGGCCCAAAACCCGAGAAATGGGACCCCTCTTTGCCCGTTGATTTCCGCATTGATGCGACTCTCATCGGTGCTGCCCTCTTCAACGCTAACGCTCTCTCTGCTAAACGGCTAGAGTCAGACGGCGAGAGGGTGGGCGTGCCACGGCGGCGGTGTGGCCCTGCTAGACTGCTGGGAGGCATACTCTTCGCTGCGGGACGTGTATCGTCAGGCACTTTTAGGAGGCCCGTCTACCGTTCGACCAGGTTATTTCCCCTTCATCGACCGGACCTTATCGGGGGATTTTATTTTATCTTTTGCAGCACTGAAAGGGAGCTTTTCGTTTGCATTTCACTACTAGATTTTCTTTTTTGGCATTCACATAATGTCGTTAAAATTGACGTTGCTTAGGCAACCGTAGGATTACAAGAAATTCTGAAATCCATGGCGATAAGTGCTCTCTTAATGAGCAGGTGCCGGCGATTTCCTCGCTAGGAAATAATTTATGGGGTAATTTCACGAAATAACGGCGTTACGTCAACAAAGATGACTTTTCACGTTCACTCCTCAATTTGCTCACACGGTTGAGTGATTTGAGACGGGAGTTTCCTGTAACGGGGCAAATCACAAGAGTTGGTTTTTAGCGTATTTTTAATGAACCGGAAAAATCAGTTGGGTACGGCTGACTTATCATTTCTTCAGCTGCTCCGCTTTTTGAGGAACTAGTAGAGGGCGCCCTGCGCTAGAAATTTTCAATTTGAAAATCGATTTTCAAACATTCGGTTTCCTAACTGAGAACTCACGTTGTCACCACCTGGTGGATAAATCCTTTATCCCTGAAACTAGTCCTTCAGGCAAATCCTGGGGGCATAATACAAGTTCAATGAAGCTGAACTATCTTGAACTAACTGAACCATGCTTGATCCCATCCTTGATCAAATTTTCTCCCTAACCATAAAAACTTGAACCAGACCTTATACGAGTAGGATGAAGCCCGCTTTATTTAGGAAAAATACAAGGCATGAAAGCTTTTGTCAGGCCGGTCGACGCCGTTGATCAATCCCTTTTTGGATGCGGCACGCATTCTACTTCCATTTGTACATTCGTAGTGGCGTTTGAATGCGATGTGGCCTATACAATGACTTGCGGGGGCCAGCCGATGTACAAGTCAGTGTTTTTATCCTCCCAGACAAGTCTGGTACCAATTAACCGACCCCGGAGGGATGGAAGGCTTGGTTGGCCGGGCGACTCACGACCCAGGATTTGATCCCCGACCGCTCAGCATAAGTAAGCCGTTGCCTAACTTCCCTACTACACCACTTCCGCCTCTGTTGTTCAAGTCAGTGTTTTTATCCTCCCAGACAAGTCTGGTACCAATTAACCGACCCCGGAGGGATGGAAGGCTTGGTTGGCCCGGGCGACTCACGACCCAGGATTTGATCCCCGGACCGCTCGCGTGGTAAGCGTGCCACTTGCCACTACACCACTTCCGCCCAAGCAGCTTTATAAGAACACTAATTATATACTGATTGAATGGGTTCTGTGCAGACTGCCAAATGCAAAAAGGGTTGGGTTTAGAATCCTCTCTTACTCGAGAACACCACAAAACATTTCGTTCAGCATTTACACTCAGTCAACAGCTTATTCAGTCCATACGAAATTAGCGCTACGCTCGTAGACACACGTCAGATTTTCGTCAGCATTACTAATTAGTGTGTGGGGAAAGAGGTAAAAATAAATCGTTGATGTGCGATAGAATTACTCAGGCTTATTTCGAGACAGATACGGGATAGAGTGCACAAAAATTCAATGCATTTACTTCCCCCTGAAAATCGCGAAGCTCCCTGAACAACTGACGCGGATCAGGCAGGGATTTCATCGTCCAAGCCGCCCTCAGGGATAAGGTGTAAGGGTGAATTCCCATAAAAGGATAAAAGGATAAAGCATTTGCCGTTGATCAATCCCTTTTTGGGATGCGGCACGCATTCTACTTCCATTTGTACATTCGTAGTGGCGTTTGAATGCGATGTGGCCTATACAATGACTTGCGGGGCCAGCCGATGTACAAGTCAGTGTTTTTATCCTCCCAGACAAGTCTGGTACCAATTAACCGACCCCGGAGGGATGGAAGGCTTGGTTGGCCCGGGCGACTCACACCCAGGATTTGATCCCCGGACCGCTCGCGTGGTAAGCGTGCCACTTGCCACTACACCACTTCCGCCCTAGAAGTCATAAAATGCGAAATACGCCAAGTACATATAAGCATGAAAAAGTGTAGCACCCGGGGCAACCGTATGACCAGGGTCAACCCTACGTTGCTACAAGTACCAACGGGGGGAGTGGGATTGTGTGCGGTAAATAGGTTTGCTTGAAATTATGTGTTAGGCGATATTGTACTTGTTTCGCTTGCCTCGCAAAGTTTACATGTGTGAGGAAGGCCCCCCCAACACTACGAAGGAGCAGCCAGTGAAAAATATTGACGTGAAAAGAGGAAAAATGAGAAATCGAGAGTCGACAATATAAGATGAAATTTTGCGGTTTCATGTATTTATACACCCCGCCGCCCATGAGGAAAAAATTTGGTGTGGAAGATGGGTCGTTATGAATTCTCGTTGAAAAGGAGGGGGGGGGTCGTAAAAATTATGCAAAAAGTAGCAACGATAGATCGACCCTGCGTATGACTGGAATGTCACTATCTGCTTGCACCCTCAGTTGTCGGATCCTCAGCAAAGCGTTATGTCCTCCCAGGATCACCTCATTGGTAGTAATCTGCTGTTTAAACGTTCATTTCTGGTCTATGGCGTCAGCTATTACTCAGCTAGCGCTCTCTCATTCCACTGCTGGCGCTCGGAACAAAATTAAGAGCGAAATATAATATATTAAAAAATTTCCCATCATACGATCGAAATGAGAAGAACGTACGAGGCAGGCGGGAATCAAAGCTTGGAAGCTAAGCTCT